TCTCCGCTGGGTGCCTGCCGCGGCCGCGGGGTCCTTTCTCCCCCCATGTTCTCGGGCCCGGGGTGTGTGCTGAAGGCCGGGCGGCCGAGCTCGCCGCGGACTAAAAGCCGCGTACTAAAGCCGCTCACCAAGCTTCCCCTTGCTCGCGAACTGTCCCAGCTCAGACACCCGAGCCTTCCCGGGAAGATGCCCAGCCGCGGGCCCCGCCAAGACTGTGGGAACTGGGTTGGTTGGTTTAACATGCTAATGTTTTGAGATCGGGAGGCTTAAGACCAACCAGGTGGTGTTCCTCTCCCGAAGGCAGCCCACCCATCTCCAGGTAAGTCCTGCTCTAGGCCTGAAGGAGCTCCTGCAGTCTGCTCTAGAGACCAGGACCCGAGGCGTCTGTTGCCCCTGGTGTCTGCTAGGGTAGGGTAGGGTAGGGCAGGGTGCCAGGGTCTCCTCGGCCTTCGCCCGCCGCCTGTCCAGCCCCCGAAGGAGAAGACGCCTGTGGGGTGGCTCGGGCACAGCCGGGTGGTGTGGAGGATAAACGCCAAGCAGCTGGCTCTTACTGGGCACCAGAGCTTTGTCCCTGGAGAGCGCTGTGGCCACACACACCCTCCCAGTCCCTGGGCGCCTGGTGCCTGCATCCATCCTTGGGCCAGAATCCGCTGCAGGTATATGCAGTGGGTGTTTTCGCCCCCCTCGGCCAGGAAGACTTTGACACATCCTCTTTTTCAGTGGCCTGTACTTTTCCTGGGCACCTGTGCAAGCTTTCAGTTTTAAGCTCTAAGCAAGAATTTATATTGCACAAACCAGTTACTAGCTTGGAAACAGAGCTGGCTGTGGGGACTGCAATGGCTAGTGGCATTTGCAAGCTCCTCTCTGTGGCTCGGTGGCCCTCCCTGCTTCCCCTGTTTCAGAGATACCCAGTGTGCTTTCCTGAGATGTATTCAGGTAGTGGGGTCTGTTGCTGGCACAGAGGAAGCACTTGCTGGCTGTGCATGTTTTGGATTGTACTTTTCCAAGCAAAACTGGACTGAGCTGCAGTCCTCTCTTTATTTTTGTATTTTGAGACAGGGTCTCCCTTGTGTAGTTCAGGCCTTGATCTCACTAGGTAGCCTAGGCTGGCTTCAGATTCCAGGAAATCTTCCTGCCTCAGCTTCCCTAGTGCTGGGATTATAAGTGTTCCTCACAGCACCCAACATTCCTCCTCTCCTGCAGAGTTAGTCTTGTTTGCAACTTTTTCTGCTGTGCTGGAGGCTGTGACCGAGGAGGGAGGGTGTGGAAATTCCAGAGGCCCAGTCTCCTTGTTTTTTGCTCCTGTGGCCGGCTTGTAGGGCTGTGCTGGCGAGGAGAGCTCTGCAGGCTGCAGGTGCCCTGGAAGACAGCCTCGAATCAAATCTCAGCCTGTGGGGTGCCAGCAAAGGCCACTGCAAGGCATTATGAGGTCATGTCCTTTGGGTACACTTCAGGGTTTGGACAAGCTTCTGAGCATCTGTACCCGAAAGCTCAGTCTCCCTGTGGCTTGCTTTCTTTCCCGAAGCCTTTGGGTTTTTCAGTGTGTCAGCTTGCATCTTGTTTGCCGGCCCCATGCTCACTTCTGCAGATGTCTGGAAACCACAGAAAGCTCTCTTGAGGGTGGGTCTGTCTTATGATCACACTGAAGGGGCAGAGTAGCCATGTCTTAGCCTGGAGTTGGGAATGGTCAGCTTCTCTGGTTTGGAATAATTTATTTGCTGCAGGGCAGAATATGCTGGTCAGATGTTTGTCTTCTTTGTCCCTTTTCCTGGAAATTAGCTTTTTTTTGGTGCTCGGGATAGAACCCAGGGATTTATGGTTCTAGGTAAGTACTCTACCATAGAGCTGTGCCTTCGGCTAGAAAGTCAGTTTCTTACAACATGATTTGTTTCCAGGGCCCCCGCTTCAGGGTTTGACCAGTAGACGGCCTCCTCCATTGTGAACCGATCCGTGGCTTCCTGTGGGCTTCAGCGCCATGGCCACGGAGGAGAAGAAGCCGGAGACAGAGGCTGCGAGGGCACAGCCCACCCCTTCCTCCTCGGCCACACAGAGCAAGGTTTGTACCCGTTGGGAGCCCCTGGGGAGCCTCTGGGGCAAGTAGACTTGACAGGTTCCTCGGAGCTGTGACTGTGAGCCCATCAGTCCCATCTCCCAGACTAGATTAGATGTGCTGCCAGCCTTACTTATCGACCGCATGATATAATGTGTGCCTTTGACAGGCCACATAGGGCTTCCCCAACCCTTCATCCTGGAGGAAAGGACCCTTATCCGAGATACACGTTTCTAGGGACTGGGTATTTATCTCAGTGGTGCCACCTGCCTTGCAAGCAAGCACAAGGTCCTGAGTTTGAACCCTGGTACCCCAGATAAATACATACATACATACGTACATACACATTCCTAGTTGGGTGTGGTGGTTCCTGCCTGTAAGCCTAACTATTTGGGAGGCTGAGACAGGAGAATTATGAGTTAGAGGCCAATCTGATCATACAATAATACTATATTCTGTCTTGATAAAAAAAAATAAAAAGGGCCTGGGAATGGAGCTTAGTAGTAGAGTGCCCCTGTCTTTGATTAGCAGTGCCACAAAAAGACAAAAACCAGATTCTTGGTCCTGGACATAGGATTCTGGAGGACGCAGAGACTATCTCTGAATACGCGCCCCAACCTTACCCCACAGTTTGGGTGCCTAGGCAGGTCTGTCTGTCCCTGCCCTGGTGACAGGAAGCAGGGCCTTCAGCGGTTCTGCACCCCGCTCCCCCAGTGCAGTGGCAGGGTCAGGTGCTGGGTGGGGCATGATGGGCCCCAGGGATCTTGGTGGTCTGGCTCAGAGTTGGAGCCTCCTTGCTGGGTGGGGGAGAGAAGAGACAGACAGTGGCTTCTGGTGGGTGCTCGCTGTGCGGGTAGAGTGTGATTGAGAGTGGAGGCAGTTGAAGGCAGTGTGGTGCTTGCTTTGGGCCTGCTTCAGTTGTTTTCTCATTCCGACAGCCGACTCCTGTGAAACCAAACTACGCCTTGAAGTTTACCCTGGCTGGCCACACGAAAGCCGTGTCGTCCGTGAAGTTCAGCCCTAACGGAGAGTGGTTGGCAAGCTCATGTGTGTATGGGCTCAGTAGCTGGGAGAGCTGGCTGGGGTGGTGCTCCCTGACTGCCCTGCCTTGTGCCCCTCTGGGGCTGGGCAGCCACTGCCCCTGGCCCTTCTAGGTGGCCATGCCCAGAGGCTTCCTGAGCCACCCATGCTGGTGCCCGGGGCTCGATGTGGGGACAGTCCAGGTTCTGTCTGAGCCCCAGTTCTTCATCTCTTTCAGCTGCTGATAAACTCATTAAAATCTGGGGTGCATATGACGGGAAGTTTGAGAAGACCATATCAGGCCACAAGCTGGTAGGTGCCCCGTGAGACTCGCAGTGCTCATTGTTGGGCAGACGGGGCAGCCCACCGTCTTCCTTTGTGGTGTTTGCCTTTTGTGTTTTTGGTGCAGGCACTTTGAGCCCTGGTGGTTGAGCATCTGCCTGGCAGAGCCACCAAGAGTGGCCTTTTGCTCTGGGCCCTGTGCCTGCCTCCCATGTGGCAGTCACTAGCTAGAGGCCTTCCCGGGGGTTTTGGTGCATGTTTGGGGTTTGGGGCTTTGTCCCACCTGAGATGGCAGCCCCATGTGTTCCTCCCCAAGGGAATCTCCGATGTGGCCTGGTCGTCAGACTCTAACCTCCTCGTGTCTGCCTCGGATGACAAGACCTTGAAGATATGGGATGTGAGCTCTGTAAGTGGTGTGTCCTCCCCCAGGGCGGGCACGGGGTGGGGCGGATGAGCCAGGACCCCGGCCTCACCGCCTGGCCCTGCCGCTCTAGGGAAAGTGTCTGAAGACCCTGAAGGGTCACAGCAATTATGTCTTCTGCTGCAACTTCAACCCGCAGTCCAACCTCATCGTCTCAGGGTCTGTAAGTGCGCTGCCCTCTCCTCCCCTCCAGGTGGCGGGGGTGGCGGGCTGTGCTTCCAGGCTGCGGCAGTCCAGTTCTGGGGCACCGTGCCTGCCTCGCCTCGGCAGCCTCTGATCTCCTCTCTCTCCAGTTTGATGAGAGCGTGAGGATCTGGGACGTGAAGACAGGGAAGTGCCTCAAGACGCTGCCTGCTCACTCCGACCCGGTCTCGGCTGTAAGTGCCCTGCTGTGTGGATGTGGCTCCAGCCTTAGGTCTGCTCAGCTTGTGCTGTTATGAGTGGTGCCTGTGGGGAGACCGAAAGGCCAGGGTGTCTTGAGCTGCTCACAGAATGGGGTGGCCGCTTAGAAGGTGGAGCGGGAGCGATCACAGGGAGGGGAGTTCAAGTGGAGGGGCTCTGATGCATGGGGCGAAGGGGACGACCTGAGCGGGGCGTGGGCTGCCAGCATGAGCCCTTGGAGAGCCCATGCTGCCTGGCCCACATCCTGCCGCATAGACGCCGCCCCAGTGTCCACAGCGATGTCACGTGCTGTGTGTCCTGGGGCTGGGTTGTGCCTGGTGGGAGAGCTTCCTTAGCGTCCAGAGGCCCTGGCTTCAGTCCTCAGTACCCCACAGTCGTGGCAGAGGCTCCTGTGTTGACAAGAGAGTCTGCAGCTGGTCCTTGGCCGTGCCCATGTTACCTGGAGAGAAGGGTGGTGGGGGACTTTTTTCTTTCTTAGTCCTAGAGGTGTGGGAGTTTTAAGCTTTAACAGCTGGAAGGCTTTTGTCAGGCCTGAGACCACATATACTGGAGAGACGAGATGGCCTGTGTGTGGAGCCACTGCTAATGCCAGGGCCCCTCTGGCATGGAGGTATCACTCACGGGGGTGAGGTGGGGCATAGGCCCAGCCTGACCCGATGCCACCCCTGCCCTCCACGGCCACACCTGGCCACAGGGTGGAGCTGACTTTCCCCGGGGTGGGGTACGTTCAATGCACAGTGGGACGTGAACTGTGGCCTGGGATAGCACTGGGTCTCCTGAGACAGGCAGGTGTCCAGCAGGCATCCTGCAGAGTGCAGGCGCCGCTTCCCTGAGAGGCAGCAGACTGGGTGGAGGAGAAAACCCGAGAGCCCATGGGCCAACTGCCAGGAGCTGAGTCCTCCCGGGATTTCTCAAGCTTGCCTACAGCTTGTCCCTCCATGCCTGTGTTTATGAGTGACAGGGCATAGCCCCTGCCGTCTCCCACCTCAGTGTATAGGTGCCTGCACCCTGGCCCTGCCTTCTGTGTCTTCACTCTCATTGCATGGGTGAGCTGAGCTGCATTCTTGGACCCAAGGGGCCTCTGCTGCTTTTGCCAGGCTGGGCCATGCACAGTGCGTGGTCTGCAGGTCAGAGGTGGACCGGGCCCCGGCTGTTTCTCCCCCCGCTAGGCCACGATTACAAAAGGTGCCTGTGTTCATAGAGCTGTTGCTGGGAGTTGAGGACTTTTGAGAGGTTGGCAGCCAGCTGGGTAGAGTGCAGCAGCTGGTGCTGCAAGAGCTACTGCCAGGACAGCTGGGACAGTGGGACAGGTAGGGACACTTTGAACAGCTTTGGAGCTGCCAGCCTGGGGCATCCACACACTGGCAGGGTCGAGTGGGAGGCTGTCTTGGGTGCATTGTTTGGGTTAGGCAGATCGATGTCACCTGTCACTTTCTTTTTTGAGGCAGGGTTCTCTTTGTAATTTGTGCTAGTCCTGAACTCACTATATAGCCCATGGTGGCCTCTGTATCACAGAGATAGTTCTGTCTCAGCCTCCCAAGTGCTGGGATTATAGGCATGTGCCACCTCACCCCACACCAGTCAGGAGCTCAGAGGCCATAGCAGACCTTGAAGGTAGTGGCTGTGTTTCTCTGTGGAGCCCCCGGGCGCGCAGTGGCCATCTCACTTGTTTGGAAAGCACCTCCTCAGATCCAAGTGGGCATGAGAAACAGATCACGTTGTTGCTCAGTGCTGTAGCAGCCCAGGGATCCCAGCTGTATGCAGATCTGGCCACATGAGGTTCAGTTTGGAAAGCCTCCTCAGATCCAAGTGGGCATGAGAAACAGATCACGTTGTTGCTCAGTGCTGTAGCAGCCCAGGGATCCCAGCTGTATGCAGATCTGGCCACATGAGGTTCTGTGGGCATCCTGTGTGTTGGCAGCTCGGGGTGGAGGACCAGGTTACTGCCTCCTGGGGCAGCCCAGGGCGGAGCAGCTCGCTGGGCAGGGAGTGCAGGCAGCCCGGCCCCTAGGCATGGGCGGCCCTGGAGCTTCCTCTTGGCCTCATTTCCCAGAGGAAAGGTTTCACTGCAATGAGAAGCCAGCTGGCATGTCCCGCGCCACACCTGCCCAGGACTCAGACACAGAGATTCTTGCTAGACTTTGGTTCCTGACTTATTCCATTTCTTCCTGCTAAGATTCACTTCTGGGAAGAATAAAACAGGAAAAAGTGGAAACAACTCGGTTATAAGAGGGGTCGTGGTCGGAGTCTGCTGTCCCTTTCCTGGGGTGAGCGGGTCAGGGTCCAGGCAGAGTGGGTGGTTGGGGCCACCCTGGAGGCTCCCTGCCTGAGTCCCAGGTGTCCTGGTGGCACTCATACACATTGCATTGGGACAGCTCTGGAGTCCTGCTTCTTGTGGTTCCTGAGGGGTGTGGCTCAGGCTTGGATCATCACTCTTTGGATGTTAGGGCCTTGTTGACTGCCTGGGCTAAGGCTGTCCTCACAGTGCGCAAGTGACAGAGCTGGAAGCCGCCTGGACTCGGTGGTGGGACTGGTTCTGGCTTAGCAGCGCATGTCACGGTTGCCCACTGTGTTAGTTACCTTTCTCTCCTGCCTGAGACAAAATACCTGCCGCCGGAAGTTAAAGGAGAAAGGGTTTATTTAGCTCAGTTTGTGGAGGTTTCAGTCTGTGACTGGCTGGCTCCCAGGCAGAGGGGTGTCGCAGAGGAGAAGCTGTTTATGGCGCCCGCACGGTAGCCACAGCAGCAAGAGAACCTTAACAGCGTCTTTCTGCCCTTCTTACTCAAACTACTGGGATTAGGGCAGTGCCAAGCCAATCTGTGGACTGGTTAACAATCACAACCCTAATCCCAGCATCATACCATAGATCCAGCCTCCCCGAACAAACCCTGTGACCGAGGGGGCTCTGGGGACATCTAGACCCAGACCGTAGCACCCATGTGGAGCTGCAGGTGTGGGTTCGGGTGACCGTGCTGGGCACCTCAGGAAGCCACTGTCTCCCTTCTCGCTCCTGGGTCCTGGCAGCGCCCTGGAAGGAAGCAGGCTTGAAAGGAAGGGCGCGTGTTCTCAAGTGGGAAGGCGTCCCCTGGGGTGCAGGGCGCCAAGCGCTGGGAGGTAAGTCTCTGTTCTCCTCTCTGCTGATTCCCAGGTCCATTTTAATCGTGACGGATCCTTGATAGTTTCCAGCAGCTACGACGGCCTCTGGTGAGTGTGCATCTCCTTGGTGCCGTCGCAGCATAACCCGCTCGGGCCTGCTGGGCCGTGATGCTTGGCGACTGGCCTGTGTGGGGCTGTGTGCTGGTGTGTGCATAGGGCCAGGCGGGCAGCTGGGGGAGCGCAGGTGCGGCCTGCGGGTCCCATAGGAGTCGTGGGGGCCCCGCAGCTCAGTCTCGAGGAGGTCCTGTGCGGTCTGGGTGGAGGTTTGGACACAGGCACTGTAGGGGACCTAGAGGTCCCCGGAAGCGGGTAGTGGGAGAGCAGACCGTGGGGGTGATGGCGGCAGGAGACCAGGATTTCCTGGTGAGTGAAGGAGCAGGGACTAGAGGGTTTCACTGACGCACGGCCAAAGTACAGTGTGATGCAGTGAAGGGCTGGGGATTTAGCTCTGTGGTTCCGCCGCCTGCCTTGCAAGTATGCAAGGACCTGAGTTTGATTCCCGGTGAAAAAACAAAAAACAAAAAACAACCAAACAAAAAACCAACAGGGCCAAGGATGTAGCTCAGTGGTGCTGCACCTACCTCCTAAGCTCAAGGTCCTAAGTTTGATACCTGATGCTGGGAAACAAACAAAAAAACAAACCAACAGACTGAGGCAGTGATATCGGAGTGCAGTGCATTGGGTGTCAGTGGCTGAGGCCTGTCTGAATACCCTCATTAAATGCTGTGGAGAGCCAGGCGTGGTGGCACACGCCTGTAATTCTATCCCTCTGGGAGGCTGAGGGAGGAGGATTGCAGTTTGAGCCCAGACTCAAAGTAAAATTTTAGAACAGCTGTGACTGAAGCTCAGTGGTTCAATTCCTAGTACAACCTCAAAAATAAAATCATTAAACAGACTGTTGAGTTTGGGTTTTAAAAACCCTTTGAATCCATGCTGCTTGTAAGAGACAACCTAGAGTGTGGGGCTAGGGTTCTCTGAGCAGGACAGGTGTTGACAGGAGGCCCAGCAGTGCGGCTGCCCAGAGACGGGAGGGCCATGCCCTGTGATGATGGAGATTGGGCCCAGGCCTCTGCAGAGCTGCACCCCAAGCCCTGTGTTTGTTCGCTTTGAGCCGGTGTGGGGATTGCAGGCTCAGCGGTGGGACATTTTCCATAGTGCAGGGTCTATACCCCAGCACGTTTTTTGCGCTGGGCTCCACACCAGTGGAGCTGCCCTCAGCCCCTCTGTCCTTTCTAAGTGACTGCCTCATGGAAGGCAAGAAGCCGCATGGAGCTTCTGTTCCGCCATCTGCTTGCCTGTGTGTCACAGTGTCACTCGTGGGTACTGGAACTTACTTCCGACAAGACTCTAGGAGGGCAGGAGAGGCGGCACCCAGAGGTCCCCATCCCGCGGGTGTTGTCCATTGCCCATGCTGTGGGGGGCTCGGAGCTAGGCCGGGGCACACAGCTTCCTCTGGGCAATAGCAGCTGAGGCAGAAGCCATCACCCTGTGAGCCATGTGCCTGCCCATTTGTCGCCGGGAACAACTCGGGCTGTAAAAAGTCTCTCCCCAGGTTCACTTTCTTATTTTTTTAAGAGTAGGCAAATTTATTGGGGAATAGGACTGGTTCCTGAGTGACAGGAGAGGTTCTGACCGGGTTGCCCACCAGCCCACGTCCTGAGAGAGCGAACAGACAGTCACCATGGCTGGGTACAATGTGGCTCAGACTACAATCAAGCAGTAAAGCTACAAGGCAGCCACTTGGCTAATGGATGGCGCCGTTAACCTCAGCAGTAGTCTGTGGTCAGTCTTGGTGGGTAGGAGAGGGTGGCCCATCACCAGCGATGGGTCTCAGGATTCCTTAGGGAAGTGTGTGAAAGTGGCCATTGTGATGTTAATCTTCAGATGGTCCAGCGAGTTCTGCTGCTCTCTCATCCTCCGTCTGCACTGACTGCGGACTGTTTCCACCTAGTGTGGCTGTCCAATAGCCCTTGAAGAGCTGTGCCTGACTTCGCTTAGGGGAGAGGGGCAGAGTTTCCATCCAGCTGCCTGGAGCCTGCAGTCAGGGCCTTCTTCCAAGGGCTACCTAAGGTCCCTTGCAGTGATGAACTCTGCACAAGGTCGAGCTGGTGGGTCCTGGTGAAAGGACTCTGGCGCCTTTGTTGCTGGTTCCACCTGCATGATCTCTTGGAGTTTGGCAATCTGTTCTGAAGATCTTGGTGGGACCACCAAGATGATGTGGGGGAAAGTGTGTAACCCTAACCTAAAAACGTTGGGTACACCAAATTTGTGTTTCCCAAAGTTGAAGAATGAATTTTTTTTGCTACTGGGGATCGAACTTAGGACTTTGTGCTTTCAAGGTGGGTGCAGTGCCACTGAGCTACATCCCCAGCCCGAGGAACGAATTCTAAGCAACAGAGGTTGAGTAGAAAAATTTATTGGGGGTCGGAATGAGGAATGGAGTAGCTCCTGAGAGACAGAAGGGGTCCCGAATGGGTTGCTGTCCCCCAAATTTTAAAAGTAGTTGGCTGCTGTGGCACACATCTGTAAACCCAGCTGTGTACAGGCAGGAGAATCACAAGTTTGAGCCCAGCCTAGGCAGTTCAGCAAGATTCTACCTCACAACAGAGGGCAGGAACATAGCTCAGTGTTGGAGGTGCTTTACCTAGGGTGTGTGTAAATCTGGGCTCAGTCCCCAGGCCCCCTCATCCCCACATGAGAGAAGAAAGCACGCCAGAGCCATGGGAGCCTGGGAACCTCAAAGGGGAAAGAGTGGAAAAGTGAGGAAACTTGCATAAGGCTAATAAAGCAAACACCGGCTGGATTCAGGAAGGTGGTCGGTGTCCCCCGCCAGAGCGGTGCTGGGCTCATGGCTCCCAGTGGAGCCCAGTGCGGCCTGCTCTGCTCTGGAGTCTGGCAGAGAGGAGTAGGGGTGGCTGAGCACAGGAGGAGGCACAGGGACAGGCTGGGCCATGGAGTAGCCCCGGGGGCCCTTGGGTCGGTGCGGAGGCTGGGGTGGGAGTGCAGTTTCATCTCAGCGAACGGTCTGTCTGTGTGCTCAGCCAGCGCCCTGCCATGACTGCCTGGAAGTGTTGGTGCTGAGACAGTGCACAGTAGGACTCGAATCCAGGATGTGTGTGCTGGCCCTGAAGGAGCTCCGAGCCCCACCTGCACCCTCGGAATGGTGGCCTTTGACTGTGTTCGTTGCTGCTCATCCGTGTGGGAGCACCCTGTGCTGGCAGTGGGCCTCAGAAGGGCAGGGGTGGGAGGCCCTGGGGGTGCAGACCAGCTTGTGTTAAAGATGATGTGCAGGGAGTGTGTAGGGCCTGGCCATGGGCCACTTGCGGTCGCTGTTTCATTACGCGTTCTGTTCTTGCTTTGCAGCCGCATCTGGGACACTGCGTCCGGCCAGTGCCTGAAGACACTCATTGGTGAGTGTGCCCTGCGGGTTGCCCGTCGGCCTCTGGCTTTGGCCCTGGATCTTCCCCGCCTGCCTGTTCTGTGCCCTCCTGCCCTGCCCTGCCCTGCCCTGGGCCCACTTCCCATTCCTACCTCTGCCAGCACCTCCTTGCTAGCTCAGGGCACCGGTTCCTCCCTGAACCTTTGGTGCCTTGGGGTCCTTGGCCTTTTGTTGTCAGGTCCCCTCGGGGGTCCCCAGACACCTAGTGCTGGAGCCTTCACCTGTGCAGGAAGTAGGGATACCGGAGGGTGGGGAGGCCTACGTGACCCTGGGGTGGGAGCAGCGGCCTGGAAGGGTCCTGCTCAGGAGTGTGGGGGTTTGGAGGCCAGTTCCCTGGTGCCAGTGGAGCCTCATGATGGCCTGGGCCTGCCAGGTGGCAGGGAAGGGAGCCACCAGGACTGTGCCTCTTTCTCTCCCTGGATGAAGGTGTGGCAGGGCTAGGAGTGGGGTCCCGATGGCCTCTTCTTTTGCTGCAGAGGTTATCTGCCACCCCTCTGCATGGGCCGTGGGCTCTCGTGTCCAAGTCTTCTCACCAGGACACCGCGTGGGTGGGGCTTTAGGAGGGGCCTCAGGATTGGTCCTGGAGTGAGTGGGGTGCAGGTGCTTGGTGCCAGAAGCATCCTCTTGCCTGCCCCATCCCGACTTCCCACCCTTTGTGCCCAGAGTGACTGTTACACATCCCTCCCAGATCCCGGAGGTCAGTGCTGTCCCCTGGGATCGTGTCCGCCCCGGCTCACGAGTAGGGTGCTTGCACCTTTGTTAGAGGTGGTACAGCTGCTGTCCTGCAGCTCGGAGGCGGAGCGGTCCCTGTGAGCTGCACGGCCTGTGCTCCGAGCTTCAGCCTTGTGGCTAGTGTGACGTCTCCATCACTAACGCGGCTCTGGAGTGCAGCCTGGCTGGAAGCGCGTGCTGTATTATAGTGGCCTCTGTACGTGGGTGGTGACACTGATAAGTGCAGTGGTGGGGGGGCGTTAAGGACAGTGTGCACAGGTGTGAGCTGCCCTCGTAGCCTGTCGTGGGACTGGGGGTGGTGGCTGTGGCCAGGTGACTCCCTGGCAGTACATTCGCCGTGCTCAAGGCAGTGCTGGTTGGGGGCAGATTTATGTTTTATTTTTTTTTATTTTTGGTTTTTTGAGACAGGGTGTCACTATGTAGTTGAGACTGACCTGGAGCTCACTATGCAGCCCAGGCTGGTCTCGAACTCACAGCGATCCTCCTGCCTCAGCCTCCCGAGTGCTGGGATGACAGGCGTGTGCCACCATGCCCAGCATGTTTTGCTTTTTGAGATCTGGAATATGTCTTATCTCTGCAGTACTTGGGGGGTGGGTTTGAGACTGGGTCTCCCTGTGTAGCCCAGGCTGGCCTTGAACTCAGGGTGGTCCTCCTGCCTCAGCCTCCTGAGTGCTTGATTACAGGATTATAGGTGCTTGCTGAAGCACCCGGCTTTTATTTCTAAAGTATTTTTGTATTGTTCTTTTACCCCAGTACCAGGGATTGAATTTAGGACCTTGTGTTTTTGAAGCAGGTGTGGCCCCACTGAGCTAAATCCCTGGCATTTGCCAATATTTTTGACCTGTGGTTGCTTGGCCCCTAGGGCTGCAGCCAGCTGGTGTGGTTGCCAGCTGGGGTCCACATGCTCAGTGTGGTCTGGGCTTGCACAGGAGAGGGAGAGGTGTGGGGAGTCTGGGAGCGCTGTGCGGTGTGGGAGTTACAGCACTGGACAGCAGGGCCCTCCTGTGACCGTCTTGTGTGCCTTTCCAGTGTGGTTGACCAGACGGAGGGAGCCGGGGCCGCGGCGAGTCCGTGGTAATGGGTGTGCTCGGGGCACGCCAAGGGTCTGGCAGTGTGCACAGCTGCCCCAGGGCAGGGCGAGGGCAGGCGCCCGGTCTGGCAGCAAGGATGGCGCTGCGTCGTCCCTCAGCTGTGGCCAGGCAGCTCCCCTGGCCGCAGGCCGTGGGCTGATCTTAGAGCCAGGGCTGGGAGTAGAGGGGCCACGGTTCTGAGGCTGCTGCCCAGGACGGCATGGGCCATTTCCCCAGCAGCCAGGGTTCTCAGCCTCCTGGGCATTGGCAGACGTTCTGCGTGGTGGCAGTGACTGTCACACAAAAGGCCCGGGGACCCAGTGTTTCTTGCCTCCAGCCCTTCACTCCTGCAGCCCTGGCATCTAAGGAAGTTTGAGAGGCCCCGAGGACGCGCACACTGGCACAGGGTGGGGAGAGGTGTTGGTGTCGCTGTGGGCTCCTTGGGTGGTGACGGTGTTACCGGTGGCAGCACTCTCACGAAGTTGTCCCGCACGGTGACACGGTGGTGGGGAGCTGGTCCTGCCCCCACTGTACTCACAGTCTCTCATTTCCAACGAAGACGACGACAATCCACCCGTGTCCTTCGTGAAGTTCTCTCCCAACGGCAAATACATCCTGGCGGCCACGCTAGACAAGTAAGAGCTCTGTCCCTGGGCAGCCACGTGCCTAGGAGGCTGAGGGGCCTTACCAGTTCCGGCCTGAGAGTTGGGTGCAGCCTGCTTGGGGTGTGTGGGCCTCTTCGCTCCGACTTCTGGGCACCTCGAGCTTCTCTGCCTTGTGGGGTGGGGAGCCGGACCCAGCCTGGCCTGTGCTGGGCGGTGCTGTCTGAGCTGCCCCTGGCTCTTAACTGTGACAGCAGTGCACTGTCACCGTCACCCTCTTGCTCCCTGAGTGGCCCTTGCAGCTCTGGCTAGCTCCTGTGTGCCTGTTCTGTGTGGCCCCGGCTCCTCTGAGGGTGCACTGTTGGCGGTTTCCCGGGCAGGATACAGTTTGCCGTGGGATCTATGCCGGAGTTTCCGGCACCCTTGGGCTCCCTGCCTCCTGGAGGCCGGCTACTGTGCTCGCAGAGGATACCCGCAGCCGCCGAGTCCAAGCTGCAGAGTTGGGAGGGTCTCCTGCTTGCTCCAGGTGTCATTGATTCACGGGGCTCGGGGTGCCTGGCTGGCTGGTCTTAACCAGGTGCTGCAGGTGGCTGTGTTGTGCCGTGGTGGGCAGCCCCTCACCCTGTCTTGTCTTTCAGCACACTGAAGCTCTGGGACTACAGCAAGGGGAAGGTAAGCTCTGGGGCACCCTGGCCTGGTCTGCTGTGTACTGGGCCGGGCTGACGCTGGGTGAGGGCGGCCTCGGGCGTGGGTCGGGTGTACCCGGCCTTGCTGAGGTGCCTGCACTGGAGTCCTTGTGGAATGCGGGTTCATGCTCGGGCATCGCTTGGTCCTGGCCGGAGGACAGCACTCAAAGTGCGGAACCCTGACGTCCTCCCCGTCACCTCTTCCAGTGCCTGAAGACGTACACGGGCCACAAGAACGAGAAGTACTGCATATTTGCCAATTTCTCCGTGACCGGCGGGAAGGTGAGGACGCTCTGTCTGCAGCCCCGCTTCCTGGCCCCAACTTAGTGACGCCACAGCGCGCCAGGGGTCGGGGCACAGCAAGGCAGGGTTTGGGACGCCTTCTGCCTGTTTCTGGATCCCCTTGTTCTTCCGGTGGCTGGTGGCCCTGTTGGGTGTGGGTATGGCTGTGACGGGGTGGCCCTGGGCTCCTGTCCTGTGTGCGGAGTCCACCTCCCCACAGGCCCTTCCCCACCCCGTGACAACGCCTGGCTAGTGCTAGAGTTCTAGTACTCTGTCCTCAGGGTGGAACTCCAGGGGTGGCTTGCAGCCTGGAGGCTCCCTCATGGTTCCTCTGGCGACATGGGCAGTGGCTTGTTTGAGCTGAGCCACAGTGAGGAGGCGGAGGGCCGGGACAGAGGAGCCCTAGTCCGCTCACCCTGCTTGTCTGCCGCTGTGACAGTGGATCGTGTCTGGCTCTGAGGACAACCTGGTGTACATCTGGAACCTGCAGACCAAGGAGATTGTCCAGAAGCTGCAGGGCCACACAGGTGGGCTGCGTAGTTGTGGCTCGGGATGTGGCTCCCCCCCCGCCCCACCGCTTGCATCCCCGCTGTGGGTTGCTGCCAGGTGCTCCTGCGCCTCCTCACCCCCCTGCCTGCGCATCACCTGCGTGGCTGACCTTTGTGTGGATGGGGCCTGTGCCTGGCAGTGTGGTGAGCCGCAGGCTGCCTGCCGCCTGGGTGCTGAGAGAGCCACCCACGCAGGTTCTGAGCACCGGGGGTGGCCTGGCACTGCACTGGGTTGGGTGAGTGGCGGGAGGGTCGGCCGGCCGGGACACGGCGTGTGGACAGGCGTGAGGGCCCGCCGCTGTTCCGGGATCCTGGCCCAGCAGGATGCTTGGCACACCTGAGCCCCTGAGGTGGTTCGTGGTTGGAACCAGGCTGTGGCCTGGTTTACCGTGGACCTTGGTGAGAGGGCACCCTGACCTCTGTTCGCAGATGTGGTGATCTCAACGGCTTGTCACCCCACGGAGAACATCATCGCCTCGGCCGCCTTAGAGAATGACAAAACCATTAAGCTGTGGAAGAGCGACTGCTAAGCCCTCCTGCACCCGGACTGTCGGAGGTCAACCGGTTGGCAAGAAGCATGGCGGGGCACAGGTGTGGGGCCCAGGTGGCTGCCTGCGTGCGCCGCGGAGGACGGTGGGCCGAGGGATGTGCACCCCAGGAGGCTGTGGCGTTGTTGGGACGTTTCTTGCCAGCTCTGTCCTCGCCCAGGGAGGAGTTCCCAGTCCATTTGCTGAGAGGCCACAAAAGTTTTTAATTTTTTATTACAAGAGAGCGAAGTTCAATTTATCATGGGTTGTTTTTTCCAGTAATTGTTCTGTACATTTTTGATATTTTCCTATCCAGTGCGAGCGAGCGCTGTCCCCTTTCTAGGGCGGTGGGCGCTGCCAGCTCACCGATCCCCATCCGAATTAGTGCCCAGCGCGTTCTCTCGTCTTCTGGAACACAAAGCGTTGTGAGGTCCCTGCCGTGTTGAGTCCTTTGTATCAGGAGTTCTGGGCCGGGCACTGACACATAGCGATAGCAGGCCGTGTCCCCTTGTCTCTGGTGTTCATGCAGCTGCACAAACTATAATAAAAGGTGGGATTTTGTACTTGCTCCTGGCACCTGCATTCCGACGGAGCATGTTTCCACCTGGTGTATTACTTGCTTGGCCTGGGCGGGTGGGGAATGGCATCCTGCAGAGGTGCTGCCAGCCGGTTCCTCCCTTTTCATTGGCGGCCGGGCTTCCTGTGGCGCCCAGGGCCCAGTGCTTCCCGTGGGCCTCTTGGGCCTGTGGGTGGCCGTCACCTGCATCCTAGGCCACATCAGTGTCTAGCATGGGAGGGAACGAGCTGCCCTCAAGGCTGGGCGTCCTGGTGCCCTCAGAGATACCCCCGGGGGCCCTTGGTGTCACTTGAGCCTCCCACATCCCTGTATCAGCCGGGGCCTCTGGCATGTGGCTCCTCAGGGATCGGGTCTGGGGAGAGGCAGCTGCCAGGCTCACCACTGCTGCCTGGCTGTGTGCATGGGGACCTGGCTGGAAGGTGGTGGCCGTCATGGAGACGGCTGAGGGCGAGCTGCAGGGATGTGAGGCACGTCACCCTGCAGGATCCCCTATCCGCAGCACTTGGGACCTTGGGGCCAGCCAGTGTCATCTGTGAGGGCCCAGAGCAGGGAGCTGGGCCTGTGGGGACTCACAGCGAGTCCCTGTCCCCAGCCAGGCAGGACCTGGGCATCCTCAGTGCCTGCCGTCCAGTGGTGTGAGGTAAGAAACCTGGAAGGCACTTAGGAAGAGGCTCGTGCCATTTCGCTGTACCAGGAGGCACACATGCGGGTTGTCACGTCCATTGTGGCAGCAGCGGGAGGAGGGTCCGAGGCCTGTGCCTGCCTCCTGTGTGACGGACCTGTCACGCTGCTGCAGGACGTTTGTCCCGGGTAGAGCCCTTCCTGCTGGGGCAGGGCTTGCTGTGCTGAACGCTGTATCCTGAATATAGTTTTATTTTTTCTACAGTTGAACTCTCTGTTGTAGATTTATGTACAAATACATCTTTTTCAAAGTAAAGATTTTGTGTCTTGTGATTTTGTCCCATGAGACTTTATTTTTCTAACAGCGCAAACTGGCTTTTACTTAATTTCATTTTGCCTTGCTTTTACGGACAAGCTCTGTAGCCCAGGCTGGCCTCAGCCTGGTGTGCACCACCACGCCTGACTTTTTAAGGCTTTTGATGAAGGATTGAGTTTCTGCTCCCGAAGGGTGTAGCACCCGGGGGCTGTATCCAGGGCCTCTGTGGGGAGGTGGCTTTGGACTTGGGTGCGAGTGTGTCCTGTGGGCCACTTTCCCAGACAGCTGGCCTTGAGGGCGGCCCTGAAGACTCACCTGCCTCGTGGAGGGCGGACACGGCGGCAGGCGCCTCTCTGTGCTGGGTGTGCTGAGGGTGGGCAGTGTTCCCAGAGTGCCCCTCTCGCTAAGCCCGTGCCTTTGCCTCCGTTACTGCCAGTGTCAAGACGGTAAAGATGCTAAGCAGTGCTGTCCCGCAGGGTCTTCGCACGCCCTGGGGACAGACCTCGTGCTGGCACAGCTCCCAGGAACACCGCAGAAGTCAGATCCAGAGGCTTCCCGACACGGGCGGGAGTGTCCTGCACCCTTGTCCCTGTCACCTGCTTCAGGAAAGGCTCTGTTCTCACTCCGGCCCCGATGGTTTGAGTCCAGTTCCCTGGCATCTGGCAACGTGAGCAGGGGATGCAGGGTGTCTGCAGGGGCCGTCTGTCCAGAAGCGTTACTGGGATTCTGTAATGGAGCCAGCGTGGTGGTGTGGCCTGTGAACCTGATGCTTGGGAATCTCACAGGAGTCCATCCTGGGCAACTTAGCAAGACCTGGTCTCAAAAAAAAAATAGAATGGGCTGAGGATGTAGCTCAGTGCAGGCCCTGGGTTCAATCCCCAGTCCTGGAAGAAAACTTGGATCGAAGACCTGATACTGATTTCCCAGTTTTTGTTTTGTTTTTTGGTTTTTTGAGACAGGGTCTCACTACCTAGTTGAGACTGTTCTGGAACTCACTATGTAGTCCAGGCTGGTCTCGAACTCAAAGCGATCCTCCTGCCTCAGCCTCCCCAGTGCTGGGATTACAGGCATGCGCCATCACGCCTGGGTCCCAGTTCTTAATATTAGAAAAAAAAAAAAAGTTCTTTCACACACTCCATGAGGCTCTTTGGCATGCACTGTGCAGCCACACTGGCATGTTCACGCGCATGTGTGACACCAACACAAGAAGCTGTGCACACTGCGTGCCTGAGACGTGCACAGGTGGCGGCTTGCAGGGTTTCCCTTTCGGTCCCCAGGAAGCACGCGGATGACCCCAATGCAAGGAGCGAGGTGCGCGCTGAGTCCCACTGAGTCGTCCTCGGGGACTTGAAGACAGGAGGAGGGTGTCTGCGTGATTCCCTTTCCCCCGCAGGGTCCACTCGCTGCCTCGCTGCTGCTGAGTCAGGTGTTGCCCAAAGGGACCCTGGTGGCAGCCCGGCGCCGCCCTGTCCCGAAAGCACCCAGGTGCTGAGGGGGTTACGGATTCAGCAGGAGCGGTGCCGGGGCGGGGATGTAGCTCAGGGGAGCCACGCTGTGGAAGGTCCCGAGTTCGATCCTGGTCCTAGAACCCAACCCAACCCAACTTCAAAACCAGCAGGAGCGCTCGGGATCCAGGCACAGCTGGGTTCCGCTCAGGCTCTGGGCCACGCTGATGCTCCCGCCAGTTCCCACCTGGCTTGGTGCGGCTGGAAAATGCCTTAACCGTATGCGTGTTGTCAGGCCCAAGGGCCTCTTCCATCCTTGTCAAGGGGAGTGCTAACCTTCTCTCCTTTCATACAACACACCTCCGTCTTCCCGCGCGCGGTATTTATGGGCCTAGAACCGCCTTAGCTTTACAGTGATGGTGAGTTTGTTTCCCCTATCTACAGGGACTCACTAGCGCAAAAGACCCTGCAAAAGGAACACCTGAACTATTTACATTGCTAATCTTCATCAACTTGAATGTGTAAGATATAAATCCCAATTTTTTTCTGCGATAATGAATTCACAAAACCAGCCAATCAGAAGCCGAGGGGAACAGCAGTCCAGCGCGTTCCTCCGAGCAGCAGATTCACCCGGAAACAAAACAGGGCGGAAGCGCACTTCCCACAGGGACACGTCTAGCGCTTGGCGGGAAGAGGCACGGAAGTGTCTGCGGAAGTGGAAGCGGCTGGTAACCAATCAGCGTCAACGTTGGTTGATGCCTCCACGAACTTCCGGACGCCTCTGCACGCGGGGAACTGTGGGTGCCGAGGGGCGGGCATCCGAGGGCGCCGTAGGCGCACGCTCCGCGCTTGTGCCCAGGTCTGCGCATGCGCCTCTCTGTTCTCTTCTTGGGGTCTGGGCGGCCCTGAGGTCTGCGCGCTTCCCTTTTCCGAAGGTGGAGGGTCGTGCTGCGCTGCGGCTCAGATCCCTGCCCTAGTGTCCGCCCCAGGGGTGCTGGTTCGGGCCTTTCTTCATAAAAAGCCAGTAAGCCAGAGCAGCTGGTAAAAGTACTTGGGTACACGCACGCGTCACCCCGTGCACACTTGTCCACGCGCGCATGTGTCTGCACAGTACCGTGTCCACACATGCATGTTGCCCCGTGCACACGCGTGCAGGTGCACTCACACCCGTATGCACATACATCCATATATCGGGTTTGTGAAGCTTCCCACGTGCAGGAGCAACACAAGTGCTGGGACAGGAGGGACTAGCAGCTGTGGGTGCGAGTGACACCAGGGGCCCTGAGCCTTGGCTCTGGTGGCTGTCAACCCTGTCCCCCTGCCGTGTGGCCTCCTCCTGGCCTTGAGAATTGTCACTTCCTGATTCAGTGCCGCCATCTCTTACCACAAGGGCCAGGGGCCAAATGGCCAAAACTTGACCACACTACCCCGCCTTGCTTGTGGCCTCGCTCCTGCCTGTGGCTTGGTGTGTGTTGCACGTGGGGCTGGGGCCTGCTCATACTGTGTGCCCATGGGTTCTGAGGCCATTGTGGCCCCTTGGGTGTCCTCTCTGCCCCTGCCCACCAGGAAGGTGCCATCAGGGTCCTGCTGCTGTGGGGCAGGGTAGGGCCTGGAGAAGGCCCACTCTTGCTCCTTGTGCCCCCACAGCTGCCCTGTGGTGTCCTGGGTGTGGGTCTGGGCACTTGGGGGGCCCGTGGCACAGCCTTTCCCTATCCTGGCTCTGTGGGCTGGGCAGGGGGTCACGTCGGAGCCCAGTCCTCAGTCTCGAAGGGGTGGGGTCCCACATCACAGTGGCCGGGTTTGTTTAGGGCGGAGGTGGGAGATCACCCTTCTCATCCGGGGATTCAGCAGCAGCTGGGGATTCGGGAGAAGGCAGAGGGCTTTCCCAGGGTCAGCACCAGGCTGATCGCGCCGAGCTGGAGAGGAGCAGCTCTGTGGGCTGTGCTTCTGAGGCTTTTCCGGTGTCGCAGGTGCTTCGAGCTCCGCTGCAGTTGACCCGCACCCAGCAGGGCTGGGCCCAGTGCCCCCTGAATCCATGCTGGAGAACGGCCTCGGTGCCCCAGGAATGCGCCTTCAGCTCGGGGCCTGGCGCAGCCTCTGCCCTGCACCGGGAAGCCACTCGAGGCCATCGGAGAGGAGGCTGTGCTGGCTGGAGGAAGAGCCAGCTTCATCCCCTGCACCTTGACTGCAGGGCCGGGGTCAGAGTGGTCGCCCGGGGGACTCGCCAGGAAGTGCAGTCATGGGACGCAGTCTTGGTCCCTAAGAACAGTCCTTCAGGGCTCCTGTGTGAAATTGCGCTACGCACAGAGGGGGTTGAGGAGACAGGTGATGTCAGCTGGCGGACTGACCCTTCACACCTGCAGAAACAAGGCGGGGCCTCACCAAGGGGCTACGAGCGGGGTTTTACTGCACATATGTCCCGAGATTTCATACTTCAGTGCTGTTTAGCTGAGATTCCCACGCAGTGGCGTGTCCTATGTTTTTATTTGCTAAAGTTGACAATCTCGGGGGCACCCTGGGCCTTCACCCACAAAGCCGCATTTCCCAGCTACTGGTGACCGCTGTCCCCCGAGATACCATGGAAAAAGGGAAGAAGGTGGCAGGAGCGTGGCTCTGTGGACACCAGGACGGGGGTAGGTGCCGTGAGGGTGGCCTCTTGGCTGGTGGGCTCCCTGGCGAGTAGGAAGACTGGTGGAGGAGAAAAGGCCCAGGCCCCACCTTCCTTTGGCCTCATCCAGCCTGGGGCGCACACTTTCTCCCTCTGGTGGCTGTGGCCGGATTTGCAGGCACAGACAGCAACTTTGGTGTCCCAACCCCAGTGCAGTCTGTCCTTAACTCTGCTCCTCCTCCTCCTTCAGTAGCCGCCCCTGACTGCCTTTTCCAGAGTAGAAAGCTGCCCCAGCCAGGTTCCATGCCGTTGGGGTGCCTGGATTTCCCAGACTGCTGGATTTGAGGACGTGGCCTGTGAGTGGGAGCTCAGGCAGCTGGAGCCCAGGCTGAGGCCAGTGTGGCCTGGCTGGGCTGTGGTCTCTCGCGCTGTCTCCTGGCCTTTTGTCACTGGTTGCAGGTAGGAGGGGACCCAGCAGATGGGCTGGGGGACGTCCCTGGATGTGCCACTTCCTGTGCTGTGTGGACTCCACTCCTGATGGACAGGCGGCCCCGGAGGCCTTTCTGGGATCCTGGGAGAATGACAGAGGCTGGGTGACAGCTCAGAAATAGTGACAAACCCCAAGAACTCACTACTTCTTGGAACTGAAGACTTCAGTGACATGGGACCCTCCTGGGGCTGTGACAGGCCTTTCCGAGTGACTGCAGGCACCCAAAAGGTGGCCATGCCAACAGCTCTGGCCTTGCTGTGACAGTGGCTCCCTGTGGAGGCCTCACGATGACCAGTGGGCTCCCTGTGGTGGCTTTGTGGTGACAGTGGGCTCTGTGGTGGCCTCACTGTGGCTGTGGCTCCCTTTGGTGGCCTTGTGGTCGTGGTGGGTTCCTGTGGTGGGCTCTCCTCCTCCCTCACTCTCATCTCTCTGGTGATGCT